ATAAGCCCTACCCTGAACATAAGACCTAGTGATGGGCGTGGCTACGCAGCAAAACCCATGCATTTCGTCGCAGAGCCACAAAGAAGATGATCAGGCCTTCTCATCTGCCCCATCGTGACAGCTACTATCCCAGAGGTGACGGAAAGATGCAGGCAGCTGCACCAACAAGGTCCACACCCCCTGTCAGGTCCCGGCCATCCTGTGCGTGCTGCAAGCTGAGGCTTTGAGGGGAAAATAACACATGAAAATAAGCCCTGGGGTGTCTTCTTGAAGAAAAATAAATATAAGACCCTGTCTTATTTTCGGGAAAACATGGTAGAAGTGCTTATTACAGTGTCTGTATCATGAGGAATGTTCAGTAATGATTATGGACTAAAATTTCTGAGCTGGAGGCTTGCAGAAAACAGAAACAATCATAGCATCACATAAACAAAAATTATTAAAATTAGGATGCTTAAGAAAAAATAGATAAGAGGGAATGATATGAGGTAATGTAAAAATAAATGCAGTTACTTTTAGGTGGGACATTCAACAGTATATTGATCTAGAGATTATGAAGGAATAGATGAATAATTAGGGAATATTAAAGAATAGGGAGAGGAGACTGGTCAGAAAACTCCAATATCCCTCTTCATTCTGCTATTTTGGCAATGTGATATTGGGAAAGTTACTTAAGTATTATGGGCATCCATTTCTTCCTCTATAAAATGAGGGTAAACTATGTGGTCTCTATCATCCATTCCAGTTCTTACATTCTCAAATTTTACTAGTATAGATACTTGATATGCTGTGAAATATAATTTCAATGATTTTATGTGTAGAGTTATCTAAGACAGTAAAGTATCTGTGATGATTTAGATATAGACGGTTTGCTAAATAATTTTGAAATTTTCAAGAAAATTTCTACAGTGTAAACACTGTATTTTGAGTAGTGAGCAGCATAATTTGGTGCTTCTCATTGAGGAAAAGCACTCCTCACTGACATTTATGTTTTCCTCATTTATATAAAGCATATTTATGTAATAGTTTTTCATGTCAGATATATGATGCTCCTAACTTCAACATCGGAATTCCAAATATAAAATAGAATATAGAAAAGCAGATGATAGCATTATATACAAACAAAAAAATAAGATTAAAAAAAATGCCTAAAGAAATAATGAAGTAAAGAGGCTACCCATCTATGCATGATTATAGATATTTTCAAATTTGGTCATAATGATTTCAAAGAGAATATACAAGTATCTAGTTACTTGCAAATAATTGCTATCCTTTAGCTACCATAGCTTTCTAGATACAGCCTGTGGAAAGCTGTTAGTGGGAGTGGCTGTTGCCATTCTTACACAGAACCAATTGGATGGCGTTGATCACTAAAAACTATTTAAAAATATCTGACTATTATTACTTTTATACTAATAAATTTATACTGATTTATGTAATTGTTCCTCATCTAAAAACAGCACAGATATAGTCATGTTTAATTCAGTATAATCAGAAGGAACTTCCTTCCCCTGTTTTGAGCAGGATTTAAAAAAAAATCTCTCTAAGTTCTATAAAATGCTATAGTTTACCTGATCAAAGAGAGTTTTCTAGTGGAGTCCTCCAGAGAGAGACTTTATCCTTCTGTTTCCACTACTGATTGTAGCCTTAATAGGGGCTACAGATAAAAGATTAGTTATAAGGCATAATTCTCAAAGCTCAATTTCAGATGCAAATGTTTGCACATTTAAAAAATTCTTATAGGACATCTATGAGAAATACTGATATTGAGAAAGAATTAAGAAATAATGTTAAATGGCTTTTCTTTAGTCCTAATTATGCTTTTATTTTCCCACATTGTTAGAAAGAAAGTTAAGTATCTTTGATGGTTTAGATATAGACAATTTGCTAAATAATAATTTTGAACTTTTCGAGAAAATATCTACAGTGTAAACACTATATTTTGAGTAGTGAGCAGCATAATTTTGTGCTTCTCATTGATGAGAAGCACTCCTCACAGACATTTATGTTTTCCTATTTTGGGGGAGTCACTTACATTTCAGGGAAGTGGCTGTGTACTTATGAGGACAGTAATGTATGTTCTCAAGCCTCACATGACATTCATAGTTTTTCAGGCAGGAGCTGACAGCAACCACCTCTACAACATTTCTAACTTACACTATAATTGGACAGTAAAGTAACCTTGATGCATTTTAATTTTCTGAGTATTGCAAGACTCAACTGCTGTGTCTATATATGCTAAAAATTTCTTGTAACTAATATGGATAGTCTCAGCTTTAGATTATTTCTCCTATAACATCCAGATAATTGAAAAGAACTTCATGGCCTGAATGGTGACAGTCTATATTTTTTAAAACAAACTCATATAGAAACAGTTTAGAATGTGATAGTTCATGATATTTAATCCCAAAATATTAATAAAGTAAAATTTCTCCGGCTAGAGGTCTTTTCCAAATTTTAATCTCTCTCTCTCTCTTACACAAACACATACACATACAAACACACACACGTAAAAATCTTCCATGGAAGGTAAAAAAAAAATAATTTAACATATTTTTAAGTACAGTATCATAGTGTAAGAACTAAGAGCTATGACTTAGTATAAGAACTAAAAACTTGAACTTATAGTATTATAAGAACCACGAACTTGGAGCTTGGGGTTAAAACTCAGCTCCATCATTCACCAGCTTTGCGGCCTTGGGCAAGTTACTACACCTGTCTGTGCCTGAGATTCCTCACCCGTATAATGGAATTAATAGCACCTGCTTCATTAAGGAATAATGTTAAATGGCTCTTCTAGGGTTACGAGAATTAAGTAACTTAAGATTTATAAAACTTTTAGAGGAGTTATCTGCACACCCTAAGTGCTATATTACTGTCCAACAGTCAGTAATTAAAACTAGAAAGCACAGCTTTGACATTCAAAGAAAAAAACAGTAAAAGGAAAAATGGAATAACCCAATTAAAAATGGGCTGAAGACTTGAACACACATTTCTCCAAAGAAGACGTACATATGGCCAACAGGTACATGAAAAAATGTTCAATGTCATTAATCATCAGAAAAATTAAAATCAAACCCACAATGAGAGATCACCTCACACCTTTAAGGATGGATATTATACAAACAAAAGATAAGTGTTAGGAAGGATATGGAGAAATTGGAAGCCCTGTACACTGTTGGTGGGAATGCAAAACGGCACAGTCATCATAGAAAACAATGTACAAGTTTCTCAAAAAATTAAAAATAGAACTATCATATGATCCAGTAATCTCACTTCTGAGTATTGATCTAAAATAATTGAAATTAGGATCTCAAAGAGATATTATCACCCTTAGGTTCATCACAGCACTATTCATAATAGCCAAGATAATAGCCAAGAAAAAACCTAAGTGTCCATCAACCCATTGGCAGACGAACGAATAAAGAAAATGTGTTATATAAAATGGAATTCCATTTGGCCTTTAAAACGAAGGAAATCTTGCACTACGCAACGACATGAATGATCCTTGAGGACATTATGCTACATGAAATAACACGTTCACAGAAAGACAAATACTGCATGATTCCACTTATATGAGGTTATCTATAATAGTTAAAATCTTAGAATAAAGAGTGGTATGCTGGTTGCTATGGGTTGGGGAGGAGAGAAAATGAGGACTTAATAATTAATGACCCACAACCACGCTTGACTAGCTTTAAAAAAAAAAAAATAATTAATGGGCATAAAGTTTCAGTTAACCAAGATGAAAAAGCTCTAGAGACCTGCTGTAAACTTTGTACCTATAGATAACAATAATGTATTATACACTTAATAATTTAAGAGGGTAGATTTTATGTTAAGTGTTCTTATCACAACCTAAAAAGAGAGAAAACAAAAAAGTGAATCCTGAAAATCATAGTATTATTTGAAAAAAAAAGTTTCTACAACAATAGTGATCACCTTATAATCGGGCCAGAAAACATCTCTGAAACAAATTTATATTGAGCGATGAAAGGGAAAATAGAGATGGCTGTATAGTGTGCTTCCCAAATTTAATTATGTTATATAACAGGAAGATGAAAAGAGAATTCAGAAAGCATAGCTATCAGATGGTTCTCCTTTAAAAATGAACATATGAAAACAGAAAAGACAATATTCAGTAGAATTTGATAGGTTAAGTCAACATTTTTCTCAGAAATTTTGACAATTATTTTAGACCTTTTGGTAGAAATATTCGAGTAAATCCAAAATGAATAAAAAAGGTATTTTTCCCTCCCTACTATTAGGTCAATTAATTAATCCTGATTTGTTTAAATAACTTAAATTGTTTTAATCATATCAACAGAATTTTAAAAGGCACATATAGCATTTCCAACTGCAGTTGTTTTTCTTTTTAAACAAATAAATAAACTGGAAAATACATTTCTTATGTCATCTGTGTCTTAAACATGATTTATCCTATTTGAAAAGAATTTCGGACTTAGGGTTCTCTAAAATCCCTTCCCATCTAAACAAGGCATATTATTCCAAGATGCAATAAAATAAAGAAATATGCATACCAAGAAAAGAGATAATTTAAGTGAATCATTATGATGTGATCTTTTTCAAAGTAGAAGCAGAGATTAGAAGACTCTTTAGCTATATAAAGAGCTGTATGTGAGGAATAAAAACTTATTTGGCATTTCCAGCTAATTTATAATATTTGTCACACTAGACAACTAAATCATTTTGATGATTTTATAGACATGTTGGGATAAAATCTATATTGTCAGCAGAGTCTGCTCCTTACAATATAGTTCATGGTTTCCCAAAGTACTTAAAATTCTTTTTCAAAAGAGACACATTAAGTTTCAGTGAAGGATGGAAATGCTAATACATCAATGTAAATAAATAATAGTTATTTAAAAATCGAGAGTGCATGTTATGTTGCTGTGGCAAATAGCACAGTTTATTATAATAAAACTAGGAATCAGATATAGGCTTAAGAAAATAATTTGATTATTAGGTTGAATACATACTGTACCAGGTCGTGGATAAGGAATTCGTCCATCATACTGCACCCAACGATGGTCTGCACTTTCCTTATGAGCATATGGACCATTAAAAACTGCTCTGATGTCAGCCATGCTATACACACAAACAGCAGAGCCTTTGAAGATGGAACTGAAAGAAAGCAACAGGATTTAATCATTCACAGATTCATTCAATCACATTTAATAAGCATATACTATAACCAGGTGCTATGGAAAATATTTCCTTAGCACATTCTGTCTGATAAGTGCTGCAGACAAAATATGCTTATGTCTTCAAGTTGCTTATAACCAAGCAACTCTACTATAAATAAAGTGTGATAATAGCTACATTAATGGTAATTATATTTAACTAAGTGGCACATGGATGGGAACCCAGTACAGTGCTGCCAGTTAAGTTTTCGGGGAGGAGGTTTCCTGTAAATTGACGCCTGATACATAAATAGAAATTATCTAGAAAAACTGGAAGATAGAGAGGAATATGCAGAAAAAAGTATTATATTTATCCATATTCTTCAATTTTATTCGAAGATATTATAGCATAATGCTTTCCAAAGAGTTTAATAAAAGTTACATTACCTACTTTCTCAAAAAGAAATCATTTAGATATATGAATAATAATCATCTTTTTCATCTGTTTTCTTAAAGTGAATGAATGTTCACAAATATTGGCTGTTAAATAATTTATTCATATGAGTTTTATTAAACTGATTTTAAAATGTTGAAATAATCTTTTTCCTTTTTTCTCTTTCTTGAATTCATGAGTTTGTGTTTTACAGTAACTTATCTGACACTTAAAGTTATCATAGTTACACAGTATTTGAGGAAGTATTAAGAGACAAAAAAGCTCCATAGGAATTTTACAAATTTTTTCAAACTAATGATAAAAATTGTTGTCACTCATCAGATTTTTTTTTTTTTTTTGGAAATTAAAAAGACATTTTGAGTCTAAAACTTTTGGAGATTCCTGTTCTTAAAAACAAGATCACTCTTTATGATCTAAGAGACATATTATTAATATCTCAGCCATAATAACCCACATGAACTAATGACTCTCTAGCATGAGTAACTCAATGATTAATATTCTTGGAATGACATTAATGGGAAAAACTGAGAGGTAATGGTAAACAGGCAGTTGGGAGAAAACTAGCTGCTAAGAAGAGAGGTGACATTCTCATAAAATCACATAATCTGCCTATGACATTTTAAAGGAATAGTACATCATGCTTAATGGTATTGCCATCAAGGCAGGTTAATTATGGCTTCTCACCGAACGAAGGATGTGATATGCATTCCGACATTACCTCAGTCTTCGGGACGGCATTAAAAATAAAACAATAAAGTACACAAAGAACAAAGAGCTGACTTGTAACTTCACACTCTGGGTGGGCAGAAACTTAATAGGAGAAAAAATGAACTATCTTGGGGCTACATTTTCCTGGCACATATCAGTGCCTTGTGTGTGGAACACACAGTGACTTCAAAGAAAGTTCTGTGATTGGAAAGATGCCAAGAAAACTAGAGCTGAGATACTTAACTTGACTAACTACAGGCACTTCTTCTTGCACCTTTTTATATTCAGATATAAATTAACAGAAAAATGGAGGTCAAAATAGCAACTTCTTAGAGTATCTTCTTTATTCTCATATTTAATATTCATATTCTGTATCTTATAATTAATGAGATAGTATTTTGTGTTCTGATATATTCTGAACCTATGATGCATTTCAGCTTATGAATAAAGAATTGTGAACTAAATGAGGATCGCGTTGCAGAAAACAAACTATAATTTGCACATAAAAATAGTTGAAGAGTTTATTCAAAATGAGACAAGAACAGTTCTTCAATACCAATATCAATATCTTCAATTCCTCCAATACTAATATCTGTATACATTGATAAAGATTGATATTAGAGCTGTGGAAAAAAGGTGAAAAGTATTTCCAAGAATGTAGGCAGTAATGTGTAACAGGAACAAGAATGTGCTTTGAATACAGTGAAGGAAGTGTAAGTTAGTGAGCTAAATACAATTGAGGCAGTAGGGCTCAAATATTCTTTGAGAAAGCTTCATAGATGCTAGTACAACTAGTAAGAAAGTCAGAGAGTCGCAATGATCAGTACAGGATAGCATTATGCAGAAAGAAGACAAGAATATAAGGGTAGAAACTAGGAAAACATCTTCACTTCTAGCCCTATCTTTAAGAAACATTAAGTGAAAAAGCAACATGAAAAAATGTGTACTACTACAAAGGCAGGAACAAAATGATCATATAAATATGTTGGCTTACGTACATATAAAATTCTTTAGAAGGTTTAAAAGCATTTTGTTGAACATACCTGGTTGTGGTAAAGACTCCGTATACTACAGGATTTCTTTCATCTCTTGTAGGGAGTAAATAAATATCTTCTATTAAGGGGGAAAAATAATTATTTACTATATTTTTATTTTTCAGTATTACATGCTTGATTTTTCTTTAATAATAAAATATTTCTGAAATTCTCAACAGTATATAAAATTAAGATAACAGAGTCACTATATTATTCCTTAAGAAATTAAGGGTAAAAGATTGTTTTTTCTCACTAGCTATGTGATTTCTCACTAGCTATGCCCTAACAGAGTTGGGCATTTAACTTCTTAGATGTTTACTTCGATCACTGATAAATGGGATGATTTGATTGATAAATCTCTATGGCTGTTTCCATTTACAAATTTTGGATTCTATATAAAATAGAAACCATAAGAAAAGTATGTAATTTTTATCCTTCAGTGTAAAAAAGTCTTGTCCTGTGATTGTGTCAACCTATCAGTAATTCAATTGGTAACAATATGAAAACAGTTATACCTGTAATTAGTACAGAATGGATAGTAAATTAAGTGTAAATAACATTCCATGAAAGATTATTTAAGATGTGATTATATACAACATGAGAGGTCATGCACAAATACTGAATATATACTTTAATACTGTAAAGCATACTGATGAAATAATCAATGATATAAATAATCATTTTTACATTTTACATTTTACATGACATGGAAAAACCAAAAACAAGTTTAAGAAGATAATTACACTAAGTTTATATACTACCAAAAAAAAAATGATTTCTTTAACGTGGGAGGAGCTTTTGGAGGAACGAAGAAAAATGAAATAGAAGAGCCTGTTTATTGCTTTTCTGAGTATGCTTTTCCTTAACAAGTTAGAGGTTCAGAGTTCACCACATCTCCCGTACTGTCCGGCAGAGGGCATCGCAGAATAAAGAACTCAAGTTCTTTCTACCTATAGAAGGTGCTTCCTACGAAAATGAAAGACTGCATGGAGAATATATGAATTTTGTAGTCCCAGAGCTCACGTCTTTCTGTCTCTTGCTGCAGTTTTGTTTCCTTCACTCACTTTGAAAACAATTACAAAGAGAGGAGTTACTTCGTTACAATGTATGCCCAGACCTAGAGCATCTCCTCGTGCTTTGCGTGTGCAAATTTTAGTAAGGACCACTCCTACACTCCTATGTGCTGGGCTATATATAATCAGGCATTTGGTGCTAAAATAAAATTCATACAGAATTACTTAATTAGGCACTAAGACTTTTCCAAGAAAGAAGGAACATGTGACTTACGGAGCTCATCAAAATAAGTATCTGCCCCGTCACTTCCAGGAATTGAGCAAATCAACCTGGCCTTAAGAAAAGTCGTCCATTTGTTTATAAGGCTGCGTTGTCCCCCTACATCGTTCTGGAAAATGAGAAAAAGAATAAAGATTTACCAACATGACTCTATCAACAAGAAAAACTGGTGGCTATCACAGGTAGTGTCTTATCAACGTCAGTGTTTACAGAGACACACAACCTAGATATTTAGTCCTTGCCCTTTTTTTTTTTTTTTTTTTGAGACAAGAGTTTCACTCTGTTGCGGAGAGTGCCATGGCTTCAGCCTAGCTCACAGCAACCTCAAACTCCTGGACTCAAGCAATCCTCCTGCCTCAGCCTCCTGAGTAGCTGGGACTACAGGCATGCGTCACCATGCCCAGCTAATTTTTTTCTCTATATATTATTTGGCCAATTAATTTCTTTCTATTTATAGTAGAGGCGGTCCAGCTCTTGCTCAGGCTGGTTTCGCATTCCTGACCTCCAGCGATCATCCCGCCTAGGCCTCCCAGAGTGCTAGGATTACAGGCGTGAGCAACCGCGCCTGGCCTAGTCCTTGCCGTTTAAAATAAGGGGAAAGGCAGTTTTGTTCCTCAACTTTAAATGTTTTTCTCATTGTTATATGGCTGCAATTCAAGCAGTTTTGCTCTACTGGATGAGTAGATGCATGCAAGACTACAGTAAATAAGGCAGGTTTGGAATCAAATGCCATTTCTGCCAATTATTTGCTCCATGACCTACAAATGACTAATTTTCTAAGATTCTGTTTTCTCATTGATAAAATATGGTCAATGCTTTGAAATATGATTAATGTCTTAAAATATGGTTAATTTTTAATGTGGTTATTATTATTATTTTTAGAGATGGAGTCTTGCTATGTTGCCTGGCCCGGAGTGCAGTGGCTATTCCCAGGTGCAACAATTGCACAATACAGCCTTGAATTCCTGGCTTCAAGTGATCCTCCTAAGTAGCTGAGAATAAAGGCACATGCCACAGTGCCTAGCCAAAATATGGTTAGTTTGATGATTAATGGGAAAAAAAATGTGTAAAATGCTTAGCATAGTGCCAAGAAACTTGAGTTCAATAAGTGATAGTACTGACGTTTTTGTTATTTATAGGATTAAAAACAATATTTGTATCCTTTAGAAGTCTGTCTGTATAAAGGCTTAAAAACGGTCTTTTCCAAATTTAGTGTCCTACTAATTAAACATCAAGGCAACATAAACATATATATAACATACATATAAAAACAATCCTTTAAAAATATTAATCTATATTTTCCATACTTTATTTTTGCTCTGAGATATTTTATTAAAAATGTTCTTTAGATATTTAGCAAATCATAAACATTTAAATCAACTAAATAGAATAGACAGTATTATGGTATTAACTTATTCAGCATAAAAAGATATATTTCTTTTTTTTAAGTGCTGTCAATTTTATTTAATTGATCCTTTTTGTTTCTTATTTCCTTGCTTTCCAGTACACTTGTGTGTCTATGAAACTTTATTATTTTTAAATTAATATATCCATGTGAACACTAAATAATCACAGTTTTTCATTTATTGGACTCAACTAGCTCTGTACTGGTTTTAATAAATAAAATGAGACTGATTAATAGAATAAATACATTAAGTACTTAATTTTGACTTTCAAAAATTACTTTTGGAGCCATGTTTTCCATTAATCTATTTACATTGGAGTATAAATGATATAAAAATTTTCATCCTTCAGTCTATGTTCTATAAAGTTAATGAAAAGTTAACTATTAAGTTCCAAGTCTGAATTTCTAGAAATTATTTTCTTTGTGCTTCTTTTATCTCTGAAATTAAACTAACTTAGAGAAAAGCATCTAAATGACTACTCCAAACAAGAGAATTCAAAGGCATATAAATACTATTCTTGACAAAAGGGTGAAGAAGAGAGAAGGGAGACTGGAGACCATAGGACTTTTTATCTTTTATTTTTTTTATAGCCCTAGCACCTAACACAAAGGGAGTACCTATTGTATGTGATGTCCAGAGTGAATCATTTTTTATATTTCCTTCCACTACACAACAGAATAATTTTTAGTAACAGGTCTGTAAAAATTAGTAATAATTGTTAAATGCTTGATTTGTTCTTTAGGTTTAAAACGAATAACAATTCAAAAAGAAGAATAATTTTGAAGTTTAAAAGCATTAAAATTCAATAAAATATTTCATGTATGAACTAAAAAATTGGCACTTAAATGAAGTATCACACCTGACAGTTTGCACTATATCTCACTGTTTTAAGTTTTAAATTATTTCAGATTATTATGAACTTACTCTTTGAGCATATGTGTAGCTGTGTGTGTGTGTGCAGGGGGCTGACTGTACATATACATGTCCACATATACATATAGATGTGATAGAAACACAATGATAACCACAGCAATCATTTAGAACCTGGACCAACAAGACTCTTCCAGGAGTAGTGCTTTGTCACTGATACAATTTAGAATTGCTGACACACGGTAATAATAAAAAGGACAGTAACTTTTAGTTGGTTTTCTAATAATTTTTAATTCTCACGAGAAAATGCACTCCATAACTCCCTTCACTCAACCTACTCCAGATGTGTCACTAACACCTTGCTTATCAGGCATTTAATAAATACATGCTTAATAGTCAATAATAGCTAAAAGTAAAAGACAAAATTGATAAAAAAAAATTCTTCATTATAGCAGCACAATTCATAATTGCAAGGCTGTGGAAACAGCCCAAGTGCCCATCAATCCAAGAATGGATTAATAAAATGTGGTATATGTACACCATGGAGTACTATTCAGCTCTAAGAAACAATGGTGATATAGCACACCTTATATTTTCCTGGTTAGAGCTGGAACCCATACTACAAAGTGAAGTATCCCAAGAATAGAAAACAAGCACCAGATATTATTCCAGCAAACTGGTATTAACTGAGTAGCACCTAAGTGGACACACAGGTGCTACAGTAATAGGTATTGGGCAGGGAGGGGGGAGGGGCGGTATATACATACATAGTGAGTGAGAGTGCACCATCTGGGGATGGTCATGATGGAGACTCAGACTTTTGGGGGAGGGGGGAATGGGCATTTTTGAAACCTTAAAATCTGTACCCCCATAATATGCCAAAAAAAAAAAATTCTTCAGAAAGCCCAAGAGATTGAATATCCTCTGAAATTCTTTGTAGAGGGAAAATGAGGAAAGGCTTCATTGAAGAGTTAGATTTAATACTGAGTCTTTACAATGATAGGTGGGGTCAGACTACATATTCAAAGATTGGTTCAGAAAATACTCTAGGTTCTAGAAACTAGAGGGAAAGGACAATGGTGGAACAATCCAGAACATACAGGGAGAAGTAAGACAAATTGAGTTTAGATGAAGACTGGGATCAATTAAAATGGTGGAAGAAAATGTTATAAAAGTAAATTGGGCCGGGTGCGGTGGCTCACGCCTGTAATCCTAGCTCTTGGGAGGCCGAGGCGGGCGGATTGCTCAAGGTCAGGAGTTCAAAACCAGCCTGAGCAAGAGCAAGACCCTGTCTCTACTATAAATAGAAAGAAATTAATTGGCCAACTGATATATATATAAAAATATGGGGCATGTGGCACATGCCTGTAGTCCCAGCTACTTGGGAGGCTGAGGCAGAAGGATCGCTCGAGCCCAGGAGTTTGAGGTTGCTGTGAGCTAGGCTGACGCCACGGCACTCACTCTAGCCTGGACAACAAAGCGAGACTCTGTTCAAAAAAAAAAAGTAAATTGGAATAAGATCAAGTAAGGCTTTAATGCCAAGCCAAAGTATCTGTATGTTATTAAGTACACAGTGAAGAACTACTAAAGATTTAGTAGTTGGCAAAGAAGTGAAATATCAGAGTTCTCTTTTGAAAAAAATACATAATATATTCTGTATAATGACCCTCTTATAATCAGTATGTTGGTAATTGCTTTTTTTGAAACACGGTCTAGCTCTGTCAACCTGGGTAGAATGCAGTGGCATTATCATAGTTAACTGAAATCTCAAAGTCTTGGGCTCAAGTGAACCTCTATCTCAGCCTTCTGAGTAGCTGAGACTACAGGTGTGTGCCATGACACCCAGCTAACTTTTTCTAGTTTTAATAGAGATAGGTCTTGCTCTTGCTCAGGCTGGTCTCGAACTCCTGAGCTCAAACACAGAGTGCCACAATTACAGGTATGATCCACTGCTCCCGACCTGTAATTGCTCTTATATTTTGTATATTAGTAGCATTGCTCGAAAATAAAAATATTTCAGCCAGCTATTGGAAAATTTCAGATGTTCACAGATGTGAAGGCAGGTTTATCTCCATACGACTTATTTTTAAAGCTAATATCCTCAGATAATTTTATAAATAGAAGTCTAGATGTTAATAAAAATATTGATGTTTCCTCCTAATATTATAATGAATTCTATGTTCACGTACGGTAGAGTTCCAGTGAGAAAATGTGCATCTGGAATTAGAAGGAATAAGAAATTTTAAAATAAATTTTAAAAATATAAGCTGTTTCCTCACCTTCCTCATGATCCTTGATTTATATCTTTTACAAAGCATGCATCTAGCCTTTATATGTTTTTTAGCAGATCTCTATTTGTACTAGCCAGAGCCTTAGTAAATTTTTTTTTATTTTAATGTATTCTTCTTTTATATTTATGGTATTTATTATATTTCTCTTGCCTGGATTTGTATATTTTTAGAGGGTCAGCAATGAATACTAAAAATAATGTTGATTCAATATATATAAAGAAATATTAGTGATCATGAATATAATGCCTGGGACAATATTTGGTTTACTGCTTTCCTCTTATCACTGAGTAGATGCTAAATAAATAAATATATATTTGGAATATTTACTTAATGACATTGTTTGACAGGTATATATAACACTACTTCATTATAAAAATGAGCAATCACATTCTCTTCTAAACATGATATCACGTAAAAGTGACAATAAATGTTCATTTTCAAGCATTTCTCCTCTTTCTATTTGCAAATATCACCTATATTTAAATTTAACCATGAAAAAATTCTATTTTACTAGCTCCAGATTCGTTGGATAGGAACAGGAT